AAATTGACAGAGAGCAGATTTAGGTTGGACATTAGAAAGAACTTCACAGTAAGGGTTGCCAGAATCTGGAATGGGCTTCCAAGGGAGGTGGTGCTCTCCCCTACCTTGGGGGTCTTCAAGAGGAGACTGGACAAGTACCTGGCTGGGGTCGTCTGACTCCAGCGCTCTTTCCTGCCGAGGGCAGGGGGCTGGACTCAATGACCTACTGAGGTCCCTTCTGACCCTAACATCTATAAATCTATGTATGTATTTATGTATGTAACCCATGCTGGCATGCTAGGCTGGGGAATCTGCCAGATTCTGGATCCTCAGGGTACCAGTAGCCCTGGGAGCTCCCCCAGGCAGGTCTGCTGATTGAGGTGTCCCATGGAGAAGTGTGTCCCTTACCTTCACAGCCCAAGAATTTACTCTAACTTCAAAAAACAACTCTGGTTTCTTTATTATACACAACTATACACAGAAAAGAAATGACTAAGCAAAAAAAAGGAAAAAATATATAACTATACTATATAGTGTGTGTGTGTGTATATATACACACACACACACACACATATATATACATACACACACACATACCACTATAGTTAACAATAAAAATAACAACTTGAATACAATCTACAAATGCAACATTAAGTAAACAATTCCAACACACAAAGAGGTGGGGGGCCTGCATGTGTCACACAGCCTCAACAGTTACATTCACCTAGTCATAACCTTTTAAAAACAGTTTCCCTTTGGGTTAAAATTCACTCCCATTGCAATAAATGGCAACACAGTTATTGCTATGGTCCTCCACTAGATGGTGGACTTAAGGCTTCTATTGCTCTGGGGACTTTGAACTCCCTTCTTCAGACCCACCACTGAGAGACAAGCCCCAGGTCCAGAGATGCAGGCAAATGGCTTCCTTTTATGTCTCCTGAAATACACTATCTGCAAACTCTATGGGGTTAGGTGTCCCCTCACACTCCCATGAGGTTTGTGCCTTTACAGTCCACTCTTCCTCTGGGGCTGTCTTCCCTCCTGGGACTTATACCTGCAGACAGGGGATTCCACCCGTCCTGCCCCAGCCCCTGCCCCCCGGCAGGTCTTGGTTCCTGCAGCCCTGAGCCTTCCTAGCTCAGAGAGGGTTCCCCTCTGCAGGTCTCGAACCCAGCAGCTTCTCCCAGCTCCCAGCTAGCCTACCAGCTTCTGCTGGCCATTCGCTTCCCCACTTCCCCCAGGCACCTGTGTCCTGAAGCTGCACAGCTTCACACCTGGTGGAGAAATCAGCTCTTCATGGGGAAACACAGGCTGTCCCTCATGCTGGTATCTGTTCCCTGAGCAAGTTTCAGCTCCTGTTCCAGTGGTCGGGGGAAGAGGAGGACTGCATCTCTGCGCCTTCTCTCCAGACTAGAAACGGATCCTCTTCTCTCACTCTTTTAATGGTTTTTGGCTGTTTTATGGGGCAAACATAGCCAATCAGAGCCCTCAGTTTGCAACAGGGACTCTGGTGACAGTGCAAATGATCCAATAAAAAGCATGCATGGTGCACAGCATACTTTTCTGCCTGGAAAAACCATGGCACCCTGTGCAAACATTTTGCCGCCCTTTTGCAAAGGTTGTTAAGCATAGCACACCCACTTAGCTTGCAGCCCAGTGAGCCATGCAGCTGTTACATGTATGTCTATACACATATATACACATGTATATATGAGGGTTAGAAAGAATGTACACCACATATACTCTACTTTAAAAGATAACCCTAGAACTATATTTTTTAACCATTAAAAAGCTTTACTTTATAAAGACAAAAATCACACAGAATGAGTGCATCTGACATGATAAACTCTGGAGTTCTTTCTAGATGTGCACCCGGGACAGCAGCACTTAGAGCCAGGGCATGGCAGGCCTGGGCTGGCAGCGGGCAGTGGCAAAGGGACTGGCTCAGACACGAGAATGCCTAATGTGCAGCGCTGTGTGGCTAGGCAGCAAGCAAGGATCTGGCCCCCTGCTGCCTAGATTGTCTGGGTGCAATTTACACACGTGTTTCAGTGCACTAAATGACCCTGCCATAAGATAGTACTGTCAGCAACAGTACTATCTTACACAGATTTAATTAGTTTTCTGTACCCTAACACCAGTGTAGGAGTTATGCTTTACTGAGGTGCTAATTAGTCTACTCGAGAGTAAAGTGCATGTGTAGTTGCACCCTGTATGTTTTCTAATGGCTGATAACAGAAGTAAATCTTAAGTTTTGAAAGACGCTTCATTCATATACATAGCAGCACACCCAAATTCTGACCAGTTTTCGTAAGACAAAAGTATGTTCTGGGTAAAATCTTACCTACCTCACAAACTGCTTTTTTGCTACTGTAAGAAATACTTTCTTTGAGATTTCCCAATACTCAAAATGAAAAACCTGAAGAGAATTTTACTTAACTCTCATATTGGCAGGTACCTGAAGCTCATATTAGCACAGATGTGTATGTTTTCATTTCACAAGGAACATCATGTAATAAAAAGTGTGTGAAACTTTCCAAGGAGAGACAGAAAACTAGGTTTCCAATTACCAGTGAAATTCAATTGGATTTGGATGCTCAGCTTACTTTACTGGAGTCTTCTGAAGATCCCAATCATTGTTACGTTGCTCAAGGTATCCTTAATCCCTGTTCTCTTTCACTTTTTAAGGGTCTGCAGTTGTGTGTGCTGGAGTGGCAGAGGTGGGAGCCTGGGAAAAGAATGGGAACTCATTCATTCTGGGGGAATGCAATGGAATCTTATGCCCTCATATATGTGCCCTTTTCCAACTCTAACAGCAGCAATGTTCATGAGACTCCTTTGGTACTTGTAACAAGACAAGGTTCCCTTAACTGTAAGCCTTCTCTCTTCCTTCTACTAACAGATAATTAATTTAGCAAATGTCTTGCAGCTTTGTCCACAAGGCAAGAGTCTCACAACATTTTGGGCTTCTCTTTGTCTTGTTCTTGAGTGCAGTCAGTAAAGCTCACATTCTCTCTCCTTACTACTTTACTTCCAGGTGCCTCTTCATGTTCCTCTACCACCTTGGGCCAGTTTGAAATGCAAGTTCTGAGAACTGTTTTTTTAATGCCCTCTCATAGACTTTACTGTAATGGACTCTATGGGTGCCTACATACATGCTCCAACACATTCTAATTAGAACATGTTGAAGCAGACTTGATTAATCAATTATTTGAGTCTGCTCTGCATTCTAATAAGAACACTTTAGCATCACTGTAGTGTCACGTGTATAAGCCTCTGTGAGTTTAAAAATGGTCACTGGGGTTCTTTAACTACATCTCATCTAATGAGCTATAGCAAAAGCATCCTATGGCCATTTTTAACACAGGGGCTTAATACATGTGACGCTGCATCATTTTGATTAGAGTGGCTCTCTGGTAACCGGCCTAATTAAAACATCCCCACCCCCAAGCACGTGTATAGGAAGCTGTGCCTGGATCTTTCCCAGCTTGCTCGCTACTCTGAGAAATGCTCCATCTTGGTTTGTTCCTCAAACATCTAGTGACACTTCTAAGATTCTGAGCCACTAAAATTCACTTGGTCCTGAATCAAAATCAATCCTGTGCAGCCATGCATGGATCTATAGGATGAGTCCACTTCTACCCGGGCCCTTTTCCTTGACTGGAAAGATGGAGGAGAACACCAACTAAGCCCTTATCTCCTTTACCCTTTCACCCAGAGTCCTGTAGTCACTTTTGATCTGTTCAGGGTCACCTGCCAGTATCATTGATGCCCACATAGATGAGCAGCATAGGGTAGGAGTCAGAGAGATGGCTGAGTCTCAGTAATCCTTCTGTGACATCTTGGATCTGGGCTGTAGACAAGAAACAGACCTCCTGACAGACAGACAACAGGTCAGGCTGGCAGATGAATGCCTACAGAATGGAGTCTCCCACCATGACCACCCATTGCTTCCCCCATTGCTTCCTTTTGGTGGCAGCAGCCTTGATCCTCCCAATCTTGGGGGTGCCTGGCCTGGCCGCCTCCACCAATGGAACATGCTCCTCTGTTGCTAGGCCTCTATCTGTTTTCCAGGCTTCAGGTGGAGATGAAGACTTCTCCACTGCTGCAGGTGGAGATGAAGACTTCTGCTTGCTGCCAGAGGTCACAAGCTACCAGCTTCTACCTGCTTGGGAGTCCATGCCTTCTTTCTTCTCCAGTATTGCCTCTGGAAGTCCTTCCTCTGCAGTCCTAGAGGTCTCCTCCAGTACTGAATTGATGAAGACCTCATGGTGGGGGATGCTTTGGAGCCTTGCCATCTCCTCCTGTAGCTCTCTTGCCTGGTTCCTGAGTGACACACCAGGAGGTACCACTCAAATCCCACCTGTCACTGGAAGGAATCTGCAAGCTGCAGTTCATTCTCCTGATCACAGGCCTCTGTTTCCCCAACAACTCTAGATAGCACTCTTCTTTCCTCTTGTGGTTAGTAAAGTAGAGATTGTAACTTCTGATTTATTAAATGACTTGACAACTTCTTAATCTCAAATGGCATTCATAGGGATGCAAGATAAGCCACAAATAGTTGTCACATATTGGTAAAAGATAATCCCTTGAAAGAGTGTAAAAAGGCTCTTAGCAGCACTGTGCAGCTGGATAGTATTTTATGCATTATTTCTTTCACCACCTACTGAAGGGCAGTTTGTTCAGCTGGTCATGCCCCTATTATGAGGTCAGTTATTACACAATGACAGCTACCTTGTGAGATGATCATCAGTGCCTTTTCATAATTTCACTAGCATTTCAGAGATTTTTTGTCATAATTTCTGAAGAGGCTTTTTACAGTCTCTAACTGATCCATAAACTAGTTTACATGGATATTTAAACCAAGCACAGTCTAGTATTGTATTTGACCTGTCTTCAAACAAACAAAAGTGCACTCTTCATAGCTCCCAATTTTTTTTAACCTGTAAACAAAACAAACTTTTAATGTGCTAAAAGCAAAACGCTAGTGAGATGCTGTGTGAGCCTCTTCATATACATTGGTCAATGAATTTTCCTTTAAGTTGTCATTCTGTTTTAAATCAAGATGTCTTGTGTCTAACTGGGTGCTGTTTTGTGAATCGTTAGAAGGATTTAAACTAGGCCTCATATATAGACTTATAAAAAGAAAAAGTCCAGTACATTGCTATGACATTTTCCAGTCTTGTTGTCAAGGTTCCAAGGATGTGTGAAACAAAATTAGAATGCTAAGGAAATACTATTTTGATATAATTAAGTATTCATGTTAAGGCTGGGGAGAGTTACCTTCTCACTTCTATCAACCTGGAAGCCATTGTTCATTTCAAATCAATGCACACTTCCTCCTGCTTAGACTGGAGCCAAAAAGAAAATACAAGAAAATATCAGGGACACAGATGAGCATAATGACAGAGTGGCTGTAAGCCTCTGGAGAGGTAGTCAGAACCCTTTTACTTCCAATCATTCAGCTAATGAAATATCCCACTGTTCAGTCAGACATAATTTTTCTTATTTATCCTATCCCCCTTTCCTACTCTCTATTGACTCATAAGACAGAGTAGCCAATATAGTCAAACATTCATACTGACCCAGAGAGAGAATTTGATGAGTTCAGCTTTGGAAAATTTTGCCACATTGTTTCAGGGCCTAAGTGGGAGTTAACTTATTTTGTAAAGTCATGTAGACACTTTTGTTAAATTTTTCCTCTTCCCAGTTCCATCCCTCAGCTGTGTTATTTTTGAACCTTGAAAAATTCTTCCTTAGCTATAAAACCAGCTGCTTTCTGACACCATTCTCCTGAATGCCAGAGTAATATAATTCTCTGGTTTGGTAACTACAGCCCCAAAGAATTACCATATTGATGAGAGACTGGTAGCTCTTCTTCAGCTGTAGTTTCTTGTGACCTTTCATTAGTCAAGACTGAAGACTAAATAGTTAGCACTTAGCACAATTTTACAAAATTGGAAAAGTGGATATATTCCCAAAATGTGATATTTTTGGTGTACATGCTAACCCCTGATTTGGTACATGAAAATTAGTACCTTCATAAAGCACTTTTACAAATTCCCAACCAAGCATGAAGAAACATTTGAAAGTACCTACCTGCTTGAATAAAGGTTGAGGCATACATGCTCATTTCATGCTGGGATATTTTCTGATAATCAATATTTTGTAGTTTCAGAACTGCTCCCCATTAGAGCACAGCCTTAAGCTTGTATTCCAAAGCTATTGAAATACTAAGCAACTAGGATTATGATGTCCTGAAGGAAAGTCTATGAGAGGCAGTCATAGACAGTTGAAACAATTCCACAAGCAGCATTTGTGGAACTTCTTCCCAATTCTTCTTTTTATAGTATAAGTCAGGGGTGGCCAATTATTTGGGCCCACAGGCCAAATAGGGAGCTGTTGGAGCCAGGTCAGCACCCTCCCTCGCCCACTGCTTCTCCTGGAAGAGCTCACCAAACTTCTCTATATGGGATGAGGCTGTAGGTGGGTGAGGGTGGGTGGGAAATGAGGCTGGGGCAGCAGCTTCAGCAGGTTCAATCTACAGCCCACCCATCTATGCCAAAAATGGGCTTAGGCAGATGCTTTGAGAACTAGGGGGAAGCTACCACCTGCATCCGCAGCTGATGCTGTTTCCGGGTTGCCCGGTGGCTCCTCCCTGCTGCTGCTGCCCCATACCACCTCCAGGTCACCCCAGGCCTGTGGGGTGGTGATGGCGGCACTGGGGAGGAGCTCAGGGCAACCCCAGTGTGGGCTCTGGGCAGCCACAGCCAGAAGGGCCCCATAAGAGGTAAGTGCACCCACTGCCAAGCCCAGGTGCCCAACACTGGCTACTGTTGCTCATCATGGGCAGGGCCGCCTCTCTGTCTCTGTCTGCCCTTTCATCCCCTTCCAACCCTACCTTTAGTCCCATTCTCCTCCCCCTCCCACAACCACACCTACTCCACGGCCTTGTAGCTTACACCAGCTCCCAGGCTGTATGCCAGAAGTAGCACTGGGTGGGTGCTGCCATCAGCTGTGGATGCAGGCAGTAGCTTCCCCCTGGGGATCAGGAGATCTGTGGTCTGCTACATCAGTGCATCAGCTGCAGTCCCAGGTAGTTGACCTGATCCCTGGTGGGAACCTGTATGTAGCATCCACAGCTGATGCCAGGTGCACATGGCACTGCTTCCAGCATGTGGGGCAAGGGCTGGTGTAAGTGGACAGGGCCAGGATGTGCCTGCCTGCCTGACAAGATGCAACAACTGGAACCACTGACTCTTTATGGGTCATAGCCTATGACTTTGCAGACTCCAACCTGCAGGCTGGATACAATCAGTTGGTGGGCTGGATCTGGCCTGCAAGCTGTACTTTGCCACCCTTGGTCTAAGGTTTTGGTATTTTATTCCATGGGGAAATCAAGGTGCACCTCACTCAGAAATTCTGGTTTTCACAGAGGCTCTATCAGATATATGGCTTTCCTGGATTCCTATCATGATGGGACCTTTGGTTGATTCCCCTTGAAAAAAGGATGTCCAATCCAACAGAAGGGTCTCTGAAAGATAGCTGGTGAATTGGCTGTGGCAATCACCCTGAAGAATTTTGGCAGGATGATAAGGTGGCTGGGTGAGCGCCATGCATTCTCGTGCCTATCATGGAGGCAGCTGGCTTCTATTAGCTTGGAGGAAATGTTATGCATGGAATTATTTACTCTGACCAAAGTCCATAAAATTAGACATGGATTATATGCAAGGGAGACAAACAAAACACATATTGAACTTTAAGAACGTATTAGTTATAATTGCAACATACAGACGCAGGTGATCTGCAACTAGTTTTTAAAGCTGACAATATTTACTTATTAGGCATTAAAAAGCCTTGAATTCATTTGTTTAAATTATTTAAAAGATATATTTCAAGTCCTAAATGCTGAATAGCAAATATATAAAACATTCTGCTTATTGATCTCCACCATTATCAGAGAAACTTTTAAAATATATGTTTACCATAAAAAGCCCTCTTCTTTTAAGGTATGCAAAAATGTTGGTTTCTGTGGAGCATCCAAGCACAGGGGCTAAATTAAAATCAGGTAGCGGTTATGTTTTCCCATCAGTCTGTATTACAGCATCCTGCACCTATGTTCTTTAAAGGCTAGGTACAGACATTATACTTTTACCTGTATAAGTGATTCAAAACTGGTCTATACTCATAACAGAAAAGAAGTTTAGTACACAAAACCAGTCTATACCTGTAACAGAACAGAAGTTGAGCACACAGGCCATATGTAGAGGAAACAAGCGTCGTGTGTGCATAAGACTTTAAAGCAGGCTAAATGCTTTTTCATCACTTTAATGGTGTCAGTGTTTGCACGCCTCAGCAGTGTATTGCACATTAATTTCAGCTGTTGTTGGAAATGTGGTCGTGTAATGCGCCTTTGCTGCACCCCAAGTCATTGCTGCACCCCATTTTGCTGCTCCTACAGCCGCGGAATGAAATACTGGGCTTTGTGCAGCGCCGTGGCTCTGCAGGCAGCCTGGCAGCAGCCCAGGAAAGCAGGTTCCGCTGAAGAAAAGTGGTAAGCCTGATCTGCCCCCACCCCGGAGCCTGCCTGCTTGAGCTGCATGGAGGCCTGGTGCTTCCTTCCATGGCTGTGGCGCCCCCCGGAACCGCCCAAGCCAGGTGCCTGCAGGTAGGTGCCACTTGGGGGGTGGTTGCTGCTGCCACGGAGGGAAGCACACCTGCCCCCCCAGCCCAGGGACTGCTCTGCCCACCAGCAGCTTGCCCTCCCTTCCCTGCAGCTGGAGAGGCAGGTAAGTCAGATGTGTGCACGACATGGGGGTTTAATCGGCCCTAAATTGAAGTGGTATTTTTAAAAACCATGCTTCAATTTACGGCCCCCGTTTCATCTACACACACCCACATAGACTAATTTTAAAATGGTGGAATCCAGTCTAAGATTTGCCCCTCCCTCCTCTGCCTGTCCCCCCACACCAAAAGGCAAATGTGTGTTGTGTTCGCTACCTGATCTAGACTACGCTGCTTACAGAAAACCGTGTAACTTAGATCGATTCTGCTTTGGGCTTATTGAACATCTGTACCTACCCTCTGTGCAGGTTGGCATTTTGGCCTCTCATCAGGGCAGTGAGAGTATTTGTACAGAAAGACCAGCCCATTATACATCAGTAGCACAACCATATGAAGGTGGTACTTATCTACAGAGAGCTCAGATCATAGGAATGGTGTATACTGCAGCACCAACAGGTAGATTACATTTGCATTGTTGTCACAGGCTAATGTCAGATTCCTCTGTTGCAACACTGGGTGCCTGAGAAAAACAGCAAATGAAGCATGCAGGTGAGGATAAGGGCATTTAAGAAAAAGTGGAAAAAGTGGTTTGTGGTCACTTAGAACTGCAAAAGAATGGACAAGAACAAGTTGGTACCAAAAGCTACCTGGAGAAGTAGGCGACATAAAATGCTTTGTAAGCAGTTTGCTTAGTCTGCTGGCTTCTGCAGAAAGATTTGCTCCCTGAGAAGCTGCTCAGCCAGTCCTCCCCAAGCAAAGCAGTGTTCTAAAAACCCAAAACCAGAAGCTTTCTATCCTGTGTCAGACATGAGGAGGGGAACCACTTTTGCTCTGGCCATGGCATAGTATCCTGGCACCTCGTAGTAGCACACTATTCCACTCACAGCTTGTTTCCTTCTCTTCTCTGGTTACTCTTGTGGGAGCTTTTCAAGCTCCCACTGGGGCACTCCCTGTTTAGCCAAATACCCCACAACTGGGCTTTCTCAACACAGATGCCTGCCCTGTTACATATTTACAGGGAAATTTGGTCCTGACATATACAACTCAGGATGGGTAGTAGTTCTGAGTGTTTGCCTGTTTAAAGACTAAGTTCCCAATTTAGAAAAGTACTTAAGTTGTTGCCTAATTTTAGTCATATGCTTAAAATGTATTCAGGGTTATGGGGCTTAATGTATTCTTAAGTGCTGTGGCACTAGGTTTTAGAAAAAGTGTAAAACACTCTGGCTCTGATTCAAAAGCTTGCTTAACCACTAACAT